AAAAAAAAAAACAAATCCCTTACATGGTTTCTAATCAAAATACCTGTTCAATATTGCACAGGAACATCTCAAAATGCTTTGTCTTGAAATTCTGCCTTGTCTCTCCGACATTTGGGCAGCAAATCTAGGAATTATTCAAACACTGCCTTCACAGACTATAGACTTCCCACTTCTATGAAGCTCTCACGAATTCAACGTACACAACACTACAAAAAAATACTGAACTCAAAAGTTAGTTCTAGCACTCAGAATAATCAGAGTTTTGGTTCATTTAACTAAAAGGAGTTACTTAAACTCTTCATGAATTTAAGACTTCTCATGTATTTTCCTTCCCTCACTTATCAACCACATTAAGTGCAGAGACCTCAATGAATCACTGAGCAGAATGGGAAAAGGAATAAGCAGAGAGGTATGACGAAACAGGAGGAACAAGTGGAGCTTGGAGAAGACCATGAGGGGAAAGGTAAAACGTCAGCAATAAAGTTGGCAGACACCCGTGAGGAAGAAATACTAAGCAAAAGTCTTGACATTTGCACTCAATAGCCACCTCAAATTGAAAATTTTTTTTCCTTTTATTTGTTTATTTTGTATATCTTCTCATTCTTAATTCCTAAAGTGCTTTAGTAATACTGTACATTGCAAATATTTTTAGCAAAAACTGTGCAGTACCAAACTTCAAGAAAAATATACAGACATACAAGTTACTTCTATCGATACCTTATAAGGTTTGCCTCGTTTTAAGAGGAACCATGTTGCCTACCACAAATTATATCACTTAATTATCAGCTGAATCCACCATTTTTCTGGAAAGAGAATTTGTGCAAAAGCCTAAAATTAACAATTGATCTTATACTTTTTTTTTAATATTGATCTATATCTTCTGGTCTTGCACAATTTCCCTGGTAACAACAAAATTAATTACAGATCAACCAACTACTCAATTGAGTTTTTCTTCATTCATCTCAAATGTCGGTGGCCATGCTGACTTTTGTCTCATATAAGGAACTGCTGTAAGGAACACCTTCAATATTCTTCTTAGAACTGCAGATCACTCTTGTTGCACCCCTCATTAGAAAGGCAGTGTGAACTCAGACTGAGTAGAAGTCTTAATTTGTCCACAGGGTACATGACTTTAGGACCCTGCAAGTCTTTCTAACTTCAGCCACAGGCCAGCACTGCAAAGACTAAAGACAGTGGTTCATCTTTGGGTATGGTCCTACCACACTGTTGCAGAGCACGCACAATTCTGCACAAACAACGCCCTTTCATGCTCTTCTGGATCTGGATGAACGCTGTGCCAAAGGCCTCTTGATTCTTTTAGATGACAATGGAACTAAGTGCCCATGCACAATGCAGGTATGTTATTTTAAAAAGCCTGAAAACACCTGCTAGAGAAAAGCTGTATTTTCACACACACATATACATATATATGTGCATTTGTTCACTCATATTTTATATACATGCAAAAATGCATGGTTTTTATATGTATAAACATATACGTGTATATATGTATAAACTTGTATGTGTGTGGGCATATAAACACACATACACACAACATGTAGTAAAAAATTATTTTAGGAAAAATTCTAGGCGTGTCTTGCATGGTCATTCAAAATTTAGCCCTTGCAAAATAATACTCATTTCACAGTAAGTACATAAAAATTAAATATACCTGTTTTAGAGAAGAAAAGAGCTCCTACCTGCTTTACCACGGTCACAGTGCCAGGTGCCATGGTAACTACAGAAGCAACTGCAGTGGCATCATGGGTTTCCGAACCCAACTCAATGATTTGCTGCAGGATGTTTACAGCTGTTGGATCCAGTCTTTCACCTTATCAGAAAGACAGTAAACCATAAGATCATTACAGTAAACCAGCTCTAAAGGTATGTGAAGCTAAGTGCTACAGGCACTCTCCCTTCCTACCTGAACCCTGAACCACAGTGCTGTTTATAAATTTCAAATAGCTCAGTAACATGACACTTTAATAATAGATCTATGGCAGGAAAGTATTCACAAAACAAATTTGCCCGAGGAATGCATGAATCAGCAAGTGAAGCCACACTGATCATTTTTATGCCTATGTGAAAGAGATCTAAAAGAATACAGTGAATAAACAAACAATAGGTACCACTCACAGCAGTAACTGTAAATTGGGAAGCTGCAAGACTTTACAAATTGCCAGACATTCAGCTTAAACAGAACCTGAACTCTATACCTATAACCACAACAGCTATTTGGCATATTACAAACCTGTGTTTGCCATCTGTCCGGCCATCTGCAATACCCCTCAACCTAAAGTACTGTTATCACTAATGTGCTGAAGGGAAAAGTTAATTGCTTGAGAGTGCTCATGCTTATCATTTTATAAGCATGGGATCAGAACATGTTTGCCCTTTTTTAAAAATCCTCTTGATGTGTGTAGCCCCACCAAAGGAAAGGCAAGTTTACAAAAAACCCAACCATATGTAGCTGTACTCTCGCTTCTCCCAATGTGTGAAAAGGAAAGATTCGTGCACTGGAAAATGTTTTTTGTTATGCAGAATACGAATTCCCCTTCAGTGGCCCACCACTCCCACGCGCCCAGTTATGTCAGAAAGGGAAAGAAACTCTCAGGGTCATGGTAAAGCTGCCTTATATTTGCTGTAATCACTGCTGGAACTAGGAAAGAGAAAGTAAATAGAATAAAGGTAATCTCTTAATCCCAAACCCTTTCAAACTGAGGCTGATACTGTCATGGGGATCTAGAGCAGATAATTTCATTTCAAACAGAAAGTAGTTATACTTTGTTATTTACGTAAGAAATAAATTTATCTGAATGCTGAAAAATATTTGCTTGCCTTAGGGTTTTTTTTTTATATAACTGCCTTTACACAAGATACTATTGCTTTTCATACCTAGAGGGAATATGCTGGAAAAGTATACGAAGCTGGATACACTAAAGCAAATCATTGTGTTTTGAAAACTACAGCCTCATGCTTAAAATAAAAAATGTGATGTACAGTATATTCCGTGATTATGTTTATTTTAATTTAGATATATAAAAGTTTAAAAAAATTTCTCAGGAGGTTTTTAGTCATTCAGAATTCCCAGTCATTAAAATAAAAGAATATACAGTAATTGTCAGTAACGTAATTTAATTGCAACATGATTGGAAATTCCATTAAAAATGGGAGGTTTTAAAATGCATCTGTATTATGAACTATAAAGATCACAATGGTAAAGAATTGTAAAATGTTATCTTCTCATAACCAATGCATTTATTTGTATATATAAAAGCAACCACAATGGTAAACAATTGTAAAATGTTATCGTCTCATGACCAATGCATTTATTTGTATATATAAAAGCAAAATATATGAACAACTTCTGTAGTCTCTGATGTTTTAACATTCTCAGAATCCTGGACATTTTTTCTTTCCTCCCAGTTTTTGTTCTTTCCCACTTAGCAATCATTACCTAATGCCACTCTTGTTCCTCCTCAATCTAATACTGAATAGCTTACTTTGTTTTGTGTATCATCAGAATTAAGTTTGTTAGTACTGTCTTGGGAACATGGTAAATGAGCTATTCCACCATGTCACTTCTGCAGTCTGGCTGACTTAAGCAGGGAGAAAAATAATAGCTAGAGAATTGCCATTAGATACACATCATCTACTCTGCCTAGATAGCTGATTTCACAATATATTTAATAATACAGGCAGGAAATTCCACACACCTAATAATGAAGTGCAAAACAGAGTGTGATAAGTGTTAATGACTAAAGGATACAGAAATTCATAAAGAATGGTTACTTCTCATTATTTATCCTCAAAGAAAAATAGAAACCCCCAGAAGTAAGTTAATAATTTTTAATAGTTTCACAGGAGACCATATAATACCCAGTATACTCAAAAGAATTAGGTAATTATGAAAAAGGATGTATTTTGTGTTCTAACTTAAAAAGGGTAACTTACCATTCTCAGAAGTATACCTAAGGTTCTGTAATGCAGCTACTGCAGCTTGAGTACCTTGAACATCTTCTCCAGCCTCTGTGATATGGAGATACTGAGTGGATGCTTCTTCAGAAACTTCAGCAGTTAACTTGAAAACAAAACCAAGCCAAGATGTAGATACTCAAAAACTGTTGAACAAGGACTGCAGGATGGCTCTCCTAAATCAGGCATTAGGTTTATAATGGGGGCTAGAATGCCTGGAATTTAGTAGAACAGATCTTAAACTGTAGAGGTCAGCCAACTGCAGTTGACTTCTGGCTATTTCCTCTCATTGGACACCAACAATAACCTACTCAGGCAGTGAAAAAGACTCAGCTTGCCAACCATAGTTCTTTAAATAAAAGTGTCTAGATAGTTCTGTGGTTTTCCCATAGCTTCTGCATCTACAGTCAGCTCTGCTCTATACAAGTAACAGTTTTATTTTTCATTTTAAAACAAATTGCTACACATATAACAGCAGAGGAAAGCTTGAAAGTGTAAGCCCTCTCAAGGTAGCTGCCCTACCCCACCCCAAACCATGAAAATTCAGGTTGTTGGTTTCTTTTTATCTAACCCAGATTCATAGGTCTAACTTAAATTTTTTAAGGTCTGATCTTAGCAATACTGTGATTCCTATATAATTTGGATTGAAGCTGGAAACACAGAACAAATGATAGAAGACTTACTCTATACAATAGTACCTTTTTTTAGCTGATCAATTTACAAACTCAGTTTTCCAGATTCTAACATTTTCTGGACCAAACTATAAGCTTTTTTCATTAATTCAATATAAGCTTGCAGCTTTGCACATCTTGCAATTAACACCAGAGAACATTTGGCATATAACAAAATGCAATAAGTTTTTCAGTTTCACAATTTTTTGCTAAGACTTTCAGCCTTTCTGCTGCAAATAGAGGACTAGAGTGCTAAAATGCAGAAATAAGCACTTGTTAAGCAGTCAAGCTCAACAGTCATAGCAACGTATGTATTCAAAATGAAGATCAGAGATCACATGACCTCCTGATCTTATATAAAGTCAAGAACACATTTGCAAATACTTCTTATTCTTATCCATATCTAAAGTTTTTTAAAATCTTAGGGCCAAATCTATGGCAACTTTGGCTTACCTCCCACTTGGTCTCCCCATCGTGTTCCACTAGCTTCATTCCATGCTTGTTTTTAAGATGTCTGTTGAACTCCCATTTTGTACCATACACAAAGCTGCAAACAGGACATTTAATGCCACCTACAAGGAAACACAAATAAATTCCTTGAGCTATTTTTAGGTAATTTATTTTTCAAACAGCAAAGACCCATTTTATTTGACCCCATCTCAGTCAAGCCATGTAACTGTAATTCAGGAAGGTTTCCTTTAGCCATGCGTCCAACGTGAAAAAAGGAGAGGGGGAGAAGTTGTTGAACTCTTACAATGCTTAAAGGGCAACTTTGGATGATGGTAATGGAAGGAGTCTGGAACAACTCATATATCTGGGAAGGTATAGAAATCCTGCTTCCCTTTCTGCATGCCTCCCTCTGATGGATGTGAAGTTGCA